TCTGAGGAAATTGGGATTTGTTTATCAAAAGCATTATGATTTTGCTCATTCTTTGTCTCACTAGTTCACTTCTAGAAATATATAATAAGGGAATAATCAAAATGTATGTGATGACATGCCTACAAATTTAAATGTTATAAAATGTATAATATTGAAACACTGGAAGCAAACTGTATTGATTTTTCTACTGCTGCTTGACAAATTAAGACAAATTTAGTGGCTTAAAAATAGCACATTAATTGTCTTACCATTTTGTATTAGGTCAGAGATCTGACATGGGTCTCAGTTGGCTGAAATGCAGTTGTAGGCATGAATGTCTTCCTCCTGGAAGCCAAGAGATCCTGCTTCTTACCCTTTCCAGCTTCCAGAGGACACACCTACCTTCCTTGGATCATAAGCTACTTTCTCCATCTACACATCCAGGAATGGTGGGTGGAATGTCTTCTCACCTTGCATGTCCCTGACCTCGTTATCTTCTCTTTCTCCCCACCTCCCAGCTGTCCTCAGCTTTTAAGAGCTGACTGGTTACATTAAGCCTCAACAGTCCAGGCTGTTCATCCCATCTCAAGATTCCTAATGTAATCACATATTCAAAAATCTCTTTTGCCACTTAAGGTAACATATTCAAAGGTTCTAGGGATTACTGTGTGGACATATTTGAGGGTGCATTAGTCTGCTCACCATAAAGCTTGTATGTCTAAGAAAGATATGAATTAAATAACTGGGATATTTGCTTACATTGGGATGTTATGCAGCCATTAAAGCTATGTTGTATACAGAATAATGATAAATAACAATGGGAAAATATTAACTATGGGCCAGGCACTGTTTTAAAAGCTTTACATAATGCTTTACTTAATGCTCCCAACAACCTATGTTATGTATGCATTATAACTCCCTGCCTCCTTTTACAAAGAAACTAAGATACAGAGAGTGAAACAATTTGCTGAAGGTTACACAGTTGCTAAATGGCAGAGCTTGGATTATACAGTCAAACTGACTGCAGAGTCCATGAGTTTAATAGTTAATAATTTAGACATATGTTCTTAATCTATTGTTAAATGAAAAAAGTAGATTACATATATATTATGTATTATATAATCCCATTTTTGTAAAATAAAATGTGCAAAAATGACAAAAAGATTATCTCTGGATGGAAGGATTCTGAGTGATTATTTTCCTTTTAAATTTATTTCAAAAATATTGTTTCCTAATAGCTATTTATTTTCCAAATAAGAAAAACAAATCTAAGTTTGTGTAAATATACAGTAAATTAAATTTGTTGGTTTTGCGACTGTAAAGTTTAATTGCTGCCTTTGTGTTTTCAAACCATATAAATGGAGACTGAGTAAAACTCAGAGTGAAATTGCTCAGTGGTATTACAAAGCTAGTCTTGAAGTGACTGAGTGTTGAGCAAATGACAACTCACTCCATGGCTGTGTACCTAGTACATTCTATCAGGCAGATAAATGAGATAACAGGTGTGAAATAACCTTGAAAATGCTTTTGCCCAGGATACCAAGGTCAGCCTTAGAGATGTGGCTGACCTTGGCATCCTCCCCACAGAAACAAGATAATTCACAATAGTTGTATCACCATACTAGTCAACAAAAGCCCTGAGAACATTACAGAGCTGAATAATATGTGACTTTATTTCTGAATGAAAGTGCAACCACCATTCCAATTTGAGATGTCTCTCTCTCTTTCATGCACATCTGTGGGAGAGTTGGAATTCTCTCTTTAGTCTTTTCCCCTAAGGCTCCAGAGATAACAGGAAATGGAATAGAAAGGACACGGCCACCGTAAGCTTAAGAAATGGAACTGTCTCCCCAATTACAGCACATTTTCATAAGGCAGGCATGGCCTATATGCTTTCTAAAAGATGTTGTGTGAATTAAGTTTACAGATAATAAAGTGTGATCTCAATAAAGCTGGGAAAAAAAGGAGAACAAAATATGTGTCATCATCCTTCTAAATATTTTAAGTCATCACTTCTGTTTGGCATTCTAAAAGATTGACAAGTAAGTACAGTAAAATACCAATATGAGAAAACAGAAAAGCAGATTTTGATGTTTCACAGACATGCCTTCACCACACTCTTAATTCTGCCACAGAGAACATGTGCATCTGTGATCAAGAAATAGTAGTTCCTCTTTATCTGTGGGAGATGTGCCAAGACCCCCAGATGTCTGAAACCACGGATAGTACAAAACCTTATATACAAGGGTGCCTTTAAAATGAGCATTGCACAACTCACCAGTTTCCTGTGAGTAATGAACGAGATGATTAGGGGTAGCATGTCAGGCAGTGGGTGCACACAGTAAGTGCAATAGTGGGTGTAACGCTGAACATGCCTTTGGTTCTCTTCTGAGAACACTGTGCCAATGACGTCAGATCAGGACTAAAAACCCTTAAAGACTGCCTTCTGCTGGTCTTCTCCGGAGGCAGCCCTGACACAGGATTTGAGTGGTTTATTTCTGGATGATCTCAGGAAGAGGAGCAGCAGGGAGATGAGGCAAAAGGGGAGGAAGCTGAATCAGAGAGGACGGATGAGTGGGTTACCAGCATGGCAATTGTGGGCACCATGGGCTCCACGCTGGTGAGGAAATTAATAATGTAGTCAAGAGCATGTCTCAGGGTTTCACATCTCTGGGCTGAGAAGGTTGGGAAATTTATCCCCCAGCTCTCATCCATTACTGGGTGAGGGTTGCTCTTGAGGCTGTTCCTTCACTCCCAGCCAAACACCTGTGGGCAGAACAAGCCTGCAGCAGTCCCAGGTGCTTACAGAAAGATGGGCATGTTCTAAATGGCAAGAATATGAGGGTTATGGGTGGGGTGCTGACACTCAGCTACAGACAGCATTATGCGGTCTGCTTACCTGTGCAGCCTAAAGGCCACTTGGGCTGTTGCTGGTTGCAGGGAAACCATTGCAGGATTATAGATGACTCCACAGAAATACACTGTTGCAATTATAAATTTTAAAAGGTAACATAATGCTTTTCATAGTATGCCAGCAGCTTCTTCAAGCATTAGAGTATTAACTTACAGTTTTCTTTTTGCTTGACAATACCTACCTACAAAATATCTACATTCCCAGCCGCTACTGGTCATCTAAACTGTGTATAAAGACAGTAACAGCTGAAAGAAACATTTTCCACCAAATACCTCTGGCTTCAGTTTTATCAAGTGTTGTGCTTGCTAGGCCCTTCCATGGGAAAGAGCACATATTGGCCTCTGATCATTTAATTAAACGTTGAAAGACACTTTTCAGAGAATAGTTTATTTACAAGTAGGGTAATTAAAAGTAGGCATTTCAGTATAGTAACAAAATATTGATATGCTATAAATATAACAAATCAAATATCTTTTTGGCTGTCTACAACTGACAAATCAGTTCCAGGCTTCTGGGACCAGGGTCCCTATGCCCTATTCAATTTATTTCGTCATTCTGATGTCATATTTATTCAAAGGAAACAATCATTTGGGATCCTTATTTGTGATTCCAAGCATAAAATTATCCTACACAATACTATTTTCTCAGTAGGGCCAAATTTCATTTGCTAGGGAAAGCTCTTTGCTTTATGTGCTTTCAACAGTCTTAATCTCCTCAAGGGGATGCGGGAAGACAATTGCTATTTAAGTTTCTTAAACCATTCTCTTTCCTTCATCCCAACGACTCAGTACCTCAGCGGATCTCTACACCACACCTTCATTTCCTGGGAAAGGTAGAAATGCTTTAACAAGTGGCTCAGGGCTATTAAAAAAAAAAAAAAAAAAAACACAGAAAAACAAACTACCCTTGGATCCGGACACCCAAGCCCCTGGGGACGCCACCTGGACCAGCCTGCTTCGCTGTTCTTCAGCTTTCCACCCGCAGGTGGCAGCAGCGGGCTCCGAAGCGGGTGTCTCCGCAGGTTACAGGAGCAGAGGCACAGCTTTGGGCCGGCGTTCCAGACCCGGGACTGGTGCATCCACCTCCAGGAATCCACATCTAGCCGGGACGGCCCCAGAGGCTAAAATACTTGAGTGCGGAAACTGTCTCAGATCTTCTCATTTCTAGAGTGAAAACAAACATCTGAAGCAGCTACAGCAACTCACTGCGTCTCTAAGCGCCCCCCGCCCACCGCACCCCACCCCAGTTCCCAATTTTCCCACTAACTCCAGAAGCAACCCGGTGCCTTTTCCCGCGCAGGGTCTGTTCCCTAACTCTCCACGCTCCAGCCCCTGCAGATCCTTGGGAGCGGGAGCCGGGTGCCGGGCGCGGCTAGTAGCGCGTCGGCAAGCGCGTCGTCCCTTCTCCTCCAAGCGTTCTGCAACGCGGGCTCTCCTGCCGGCGGGGATGCCAGGCTGCACTATTTCATCACCCGTCCTCCGTCCCTAACCCTCCTCTTCGTCCCCTTTTCCCCAAACACACACACACGCACACGAGCGACTGACTCGCGCGCAGTGCTTCGGGCTCGGTTGCGCGAGCAGGACCGACACCAGCCCAGCAAGCTCCGGACACGTCGCTCGGACTCTCCGCTCCGCGGACCCCAGCGTCCCCATTGCCGCGGCCGCCAGCGGTCCCCTCGGCTGCAGCCCCCGCCGGACTGGAAGAAGTCGACGTTCTGCGAGGGGGCGGCGGGGCGCAGGTTGAAGGATTTGCTGTAGGAGGATTAACACATCTGGGCGAAGGGAGGGGCAGCGCCGCTGCAGGACGCGGCGCGGACCCCGCATCTCTGCGCGCTGCAGCCGCCGCCGCCGCCGCCGCCCGGGACCGCGAAGCCCGGACGCCCCCGCCCGGCCCGCGCTCCGCCCCCCGCCCGCCGGGCCCCGCAGCGCGGGGCGCGGAGGAGCCGCGGGCGGCGCAGGGAGGCGGGCAGCGCCCCGCACGCGCTTCTGCCGCCCCCGGAGCCGGCGCGCGGAGAGCGCGGGGCGAGCGCGCGTCGGGCGGCGGCCGCGCTGGGGGTGCGCGGGGCGAGCCGGCGCGGGGAGCGGCGGGGGCGAAACTTCGCGGCCAGATGCCCGAGGGCGCGGCGGCGCTGCGAGGCTGCCGCTGTTGCCCCTGCGGGCCCCGGGCGCGTCTCCGCGGGCGGCGCTGCCCGCGGCGCGGCGTGTGCACCGAGCGAGTGAAGGTATGTGTGGCGGGCGCGGCTGGAGCTGCCGCCGCCACCGCCGCGCCAGCAGGTCCTAATGCCTGTCACTTCCCAGGACGCTGGCAGCAGCAGCCCGGAGCCCCCGAGCCCTCGGCAGGTTTGCCCGTCCTTCCCCGCGATCTGATTGGATAAAGTGGGGGCTCGACGGTGGCCGACGTGGGACAGTCTGGCTGTGGCCGGGGTCTCGGAAACCATGGGTTATTGCAGTGGCAGGTGCACGCTTATCTTTATCTGTGGCATGCAACTGGTAAGTGACACTTGGGTCCTCTTGTTCTTTAACGTTCCGCTGAGATAGTGGGCAGGGGGGTGCAGTAAAAGGTCTGCCGTTGATTAGAACAGAAGAAAAAAGAAAAGGTGACAGATATATTGCCTATGTTTAACATGCTTTCAGGGAAACGCGCTGCGGGGTACAGGAGAGGTGAGGCTTTCCGCCCCCACCTATGTCTTTTCTTCTGAGGACAGTTTGGCAGGTTCGGGTTAAACTTGTCTTTAATTTCTTTAAGCAAAGCAAGAGGTAGCTCTTGTTCTTTTATGCTTTGCGTTCCTATTAATGTAACAACGTGATAGTCACATGCAATTTACTATGCAGGTGTTAAAACAGAATAGATTTTTTAAACTTTTCTTCTATATATTAATTTTTGCAATATCTTTGTTTCTTCATTGACGTGTATTATTTTTCACGCTATATATTGTCTGATAAGTATAAGGCTCTAACAAACCACTGTGTAGTGCAGATGGTATCCTTACAGCTGTCTGATCTACAGGATACACTGAGTTTTAAAAGTATGTAGATTGAAGAGAAATACTTGGATGAGCAACAGCATTGCTATAGACTGAACCAGTAGCCCTGAAATCACACTTATTATTGATACAAACAATTCTAAGAAAAAATGTTGTATCTTACATTATGTATGTAATTGCTTCTGAAATAGATATTGTTGTCTGATCCCATGGGATGGAGAATTATATATACTTCTTGAGGAATGTTGTACAGTTTCAAAGAGGCAAGGTGCCAATAGAGGAAAACGTCATGTCTCTGAATTTAAATTCCTTAAGGGCGATAGGAGGAGGAGTTGAGGATAGTTTAGAGGTGAAAAATAAACCACTTTTACTGGCTAATTTGAGGTAGGAAGTACTTGCTTACTCCTGTTACCAACAGCTTTCCTTGGAAAGTATAAGTTCATCTGAATAGCCATTCACATTTCCAACAATTGTTTCATAAAGGCTAAAAGAACTACAAGACTGGAGATTTCTGAGAGCCCAATCAATAATCAAAAGAGTAAGGATTTTCTATTGAAACTAATGTGTTCTTCACTGTTTATCAGTTGTCATGAAGCTCATGAGTGGTGGTGGTTGTTTTCTTTAATATTTAGCTGAACGAGTACTTTTAGTTGTATATTATCTCAAGGATGTTTTTATTCCCCAGGAAAGTTATCTGATGATGTATATTTTGGTTTGTGAATTACTTATGCACTGGGTTGTAAGAAAAAGAAGATGGAACTATAATTTTAAGATTGTTACATTTTCTTAGTTACTTGTAAAACAGTTTATTTTTATGTACCACATGTTCAATTAAGTTATGCATTAAAGGTTTTACCATTAATGATAAAGCTGATCAGAACAACTAGAGAGCTTACTTTGGTAAACTACCAGTAAGGCCAGGTATGCCAAACTGTATAAACATTTTCAAAACATTCTTAAGTTCATTTATGATTCAGAAAAGAATACATTTGCTGATTCACTGTGTAAAAGCATATGAAGCTGTGAGAATGAGTGGGTGGGTAAGAGCATTTTTATGCTCTTTTCAATTTTGAATTCTAAAATGTGGTTTAGCTAACATTTAGGCTTTATTATGGTTAATGTAGTCATTGGATCTATACGGCACTTTGTGTGATGAATACAAACTCTTCAAGAACTTAAACAGTTTTAGAAAAACACAGATATACAAATGGGAAGCTCAATATACAAAGTAGCATAATATGGCTAAACGCGTGTGTGTGTGTGTGCGCGCGCGCACGCGTGCTTATTTGTGTGCATGCATATATGCAGTGGTGTATTGGAAAGGTGTTACATCCCTTATGAAACAGAAATTCTGAATCTAAGCTAAGTTCTCTAACACTATAGAAGTAGCTGTGATATAAAAGTGTTTAAGCAAGTATACGTTTGAATCCGAAGAGGTATTTAAGCTCTATAAGAATCTTGTGATTTTTCCCATTCAGACTTTATGTGCTACCAGACTAATATAATTAGCAGCCATGTTAATGCAGATGCAGAAGAAAAAAACAAAGGACGAAGAACACCCAGTTGGTTTGATAGGGTGAAATGATCACCCTTAAAGGACTCAAGAGATTACTGTTAATTGTTGCCTCTTAGAAATATAGTATTTAATTTTAAATAAAATAATTCTTTTGCAAATGGTTGCAAAACACTGGGAGAACATGCACCTGGGGGCCAGCGGCATGTGCGCACACACAGTAGGTGGGTGCTTATGTTTCCTTTGTTCTTGATAGATTTTTGAAAACTTTATGTATCTTTGAGCTATTGTGAGTCAAGTTTGTTTTATGTATAGCCAGATTTCCAGAATGTAACATTGTTTGACACAACAGTTCACCAAGTTTTGTTTACTTCTGAAGCGTTTAGTGTCTATTGTAGTAACATCTGGGCTTTGCTGTAGCTGTGCAGAAAATTTTAGATTTATTAAAATTAATTAAAGCCAAAAATTGTTTAAGGTAGAAACTTGATTTTCTTTGTTAAGTAACTATTACCTTTCTAGAAACATTTGTCTCCCATTCTGTAAGTAGAGTGTGTTTTAACTAGACTTTAAGGACTATGTATGTCTACATAAACTTGAAACTAAACTTAGTAGGAGATGAGAACCTCATTTATCAGTATGTTATCAGAGTATATACACAGTGTTCTGATCCTTTAACAAGTGAAGGACAGAGACGAAGTGTGCAGAGAAATTTTCCTGTCAAGATTCTATATCTTTGTTTTCAATTATGCTAAATGTTCATTTAATTTTATGTTTGGCAGACAAGTTTGGATAAACATTATCTTCTTTGAAAAATCAGGAAATCAGTTCATAAGACAAGAAATTAGAATCTCATGCTATAGAAATTTAGTACAAAACTTCCATTTTATGAAAAACATATCTGTATATATCATTCACTAAAATCTTTGAGCTATATGATTACTCCAACTTCAGATTTCAGGGTGATTCTTATGAAAAGGGGGTGTGACCTCTGGAAACAGATTTGCTGCATTTGCAGAATCCAGAGTCTAAGCTCATAATCTGAAGAAGGTAATTTTTTTTTTTTTATCATTTCCATCCTTAATGCTCAGAAACTGAAGATGTTAGATAGTTACCAAAAGCATCACTGCTTTTGCAGGATGGTTATGGTGGTACAGGACAAGAACAATTTAACTTCTTATTTACAGCTTTCAGCAGTTTGTGAAAGAGTTTCTGCTATTTTTCTTCAGTGTTTGGTTGAATCAAAAAGTACTTTATATAAATGTTGAAAAAACACTCATATCTCAGATAGTTCTCAGTGAAAAATCAGCTCTAATCTGGAGAAGCATAATTTATTTTAGTTTGGAAAGACAGCTTTGCTTTCAAGTAAGGAAATTCTAAACCGCCCACATTTTTGTACCTCGGACTCCTATATGATGCAAAGCCCATGTGTCATAAACTTTTGAAAGAAAGTACAAATTTACACTGAACAGATTAACACTTGAAAATGCCATTCTTGCCATGTGCTCTATGAAGTATTGCTAACTTGGAGCAGGTGCAACTAACAATTAGATTAGTACACGTGTGTGCAGCTGCGTGGAGAAGCAGGTTTGAAACAATTAAGAATGATCAGTTGCTTTCTACTGCATAGTTTCTAAGCTTTTCGGAGGTACACATTTATGGTGAAGGCCTTGAGTGCTTAGACGGACTAAACATAAACAATTTTATCATAATTATGGAGTACTTCAGTGGTGTCAATCGTGATTTTATGCAGTGTTTATAGTTACAAGTTCCTTAGTTACTTAAAACAAAATAAAGCATTGACATGAAGTGACTTGAAAAGTGCAGGTAGAATCTTATGATTTTCCTAGGTACATTTGACACATTTGAAAGTTCTCTGAAAGTGTAAAACGTTATCTGTCACAACTTTCTCTCTCTCCAGGAATTAACAATTTTAGAGTTAAATGCCATTGGTAATAAAATCTTGAGGTCATTTACTGATCTGATTCGTGGAGAAGACTAACAATTTCCACATAACATTTCAGAAACTTACGATGGAAGAATATGCTGAGAGTTTGCTAGGTTGTAAAATAACAATAAATTTCTTCCTTTTAAATGTTTTCTGTTTTTGCACCCTTACATCATCATGTGTGTCTTTGTCTTTAATTCACTCTTCCATTGTTATTGAGCATCACTCTGCTCTAACATTGACCAGGAAAAAAAAAAAGAAAGATGTAGAAACTTCTCCCACTGCCCAGCTCTGTCTCTTGGTTTGCAGACCAAGGAGAGCTTCTTTTCTCATACACCCAGAGTTGCATGGAACCGCTCTCTGCAGAGCTGTTTTGCCTTCTTTCTCAAATAAAGGCTTGCACGGGAAGCATCCCCTGCACAGGATGCCAGAGTCATCTGGCTGGGGGCCCATGTGGGCAATGGCCCAGATATGCAGATGGGCGTTCCACCAGCTTTTTCCTCTGATGCTGCTTTGCTTTGGGGTCACATCCTCTACTTGCCCAGTCAAGAATTTCAGAATGGCAGCCAGGGACTTCTTAAAATAGGAGGTCTGTATTTCTTGGTCTGTTTCTTTTCTGTGCATGTGTGTACTTGACAAAAATAAAATCTGAGAGAGAAACACGTTTTAACACTTCTGTGTTTATACTAGAAATAACAAACATTAAAATTGTGGCATCATTAAATACTTTTCTGTAAGTTGTCCCTTGGTCTTTGCAGGGAATTGGTCCCAGAACCCTGCCCCTCCACGGATCTTGCCTTTGATCCTCTAGTGCCTTGTGTAAAATGAGAGCCAGCTGTCCATTACCTGTGGGTTTCACTAAAATTTCAAGGATTTATGTCAGTTATTTAGTAGAATTTCAAGTAACTCAGTGTAATTTTTCCAAAAAGTTTT